GCATATCGTTAGTCAACAGTTATAGTTGACTAACGGTATGCCTAAAATGGCTTTCAAAGTTGATAGTTTTTTTTAGCACAAATATAAATCATATTTTTCTTTTACAGTATTGGAAATATTTTAAATATTGAAAATATTTTTATAATTGAAGCACTAATAAATAAAATTATAGAAAAAAAATCCAATAAAAATATAAATAAAACTCAATGTAAAATAATTAGTTAACATATATTAATTGAATATCTTGGTTATAAAATGATAAGACTACTTTAATTATTTACGATTAATTTTTGTAAATATTTATATAATCCTATTTGAATTAGGTTTTATAATTTTATTTTCAAAATTTTGTTGATGAAATATTAATTTAACTCTTGTTTCTTAAATGAAAAAAGTTATCAATTAACGAATTATTCATGATTCTGTAAGTTTATAATAAAGATCTTCAAACAAATCTATATATTTTCTATAAAATTTTTACAAGAGGTTTTCTGCATTTAAAAAAAAAAAGTAAGTTTCACCAAAATATATAACTCTTTTTGTTATCCGATAACTCATTTTGTTTAAACAACCAAGAATTGAAGTAATAGTTTACTAACCAATTTTTGACAGTAAACTTATAAAACATAATCCGTATAGAATTATACAAATAGTTTTTAAAAATTAATCGTAAATAATTAAAAAAATCACAGTCATTTTTTAACTAAAATACTCAATTAATAATCTTACATTGAGTTATGTTTAATTTTTTGAGTGGAATTTATTTTTTTATTTTAAATTTTATTTATTAGTGTTATAGTTAATAAAAGTTTCAATATCTAAAAACCAATATTTTGAAAAATTGTTGATTTATATTTGTGCCAAAAAAAAACACCAACTTTAAAAGTTTATGACTAAATTGGTATGATCGACGAAAGTTTTTATGACTAAAATGGCTTGTCAACAAAAGTTGAGTGTTTTTTTGGCTTACGAGAAAATTGATGTTTTATTTCAACCAAATTTGAAAGTTGGTGATCTAAATGACAATTCCCCCCCCCCCCAAACAATATGTAAAAATGTCTATAATTATAAATTCTAATAACGTATGCATTAATCGTTTTCACCAAAAACAAATTAGCAACGTTCATATTTTGAGAAATTCAAAGTGAGAAACCTCACTAGGGATACTCTAAATGTGCTCAAATGTGTGATTCTCAAAGTGGGCGTTAAATGTAATTACAACGTTTTAACTCTCTATCACATGGTTTATAATATAAAATTAGATTTTGATCTGTATAGGTGTTTGTTTTAACTTTTAAAACATACATATATTTATTGCATATAAATATTGTTATATTAAGGTTAGACTATTATTTGTGTTGAATGTTATTTTTTAATTATAAACTATTTTTATACAATATTGAATATTGTTTGTATTGAATGTATTTTTAAAGCATATAAAATTATAAAGAATACAATAAAAATAATTAATTGAGTGTTTTTATGTTAATTTTATATCTTTCATGTAAATTAATATTTAAATTTTAAAAATAGTTGACTATTTATTTTTGGATAGGAAAAATTGATATATTTTAATATTTTAAAATGGTAAAAATGATTTAAATCTTATTTTTAATCCAGTAAAAATCTTATTATTTGCGTTAATATATATATATATACAATTAATTACAGGTAAATTAATTAATTATTTAATTTAAGGAAGATTTTGTTAAGATATATTATCATTTGAAATGATCATTAATGCTAGCCATATAAAATTAATATATTGTACATTTTTAGGAAATTTTTATTAAGAGATATAAAGTGACAATATGTAACAAAATAATAATTAATGCTGAAAGTTAATATTAGTTAGTTTCTAATGATATCTACTCTATTAAAACACAAATTTGACCATTAACATTAGTTCAGTCCAACCATTAAATCAACAAAATATACCCATCTATTCGTATAACTGCAAGTCTGCAACAACTACAACGAGAATGAAGGAATATGATATGATAACTGCAATAACATTAATTTCCCTTATTTTCTTTATGGTAACCACCACATCTTCACATTTAATAACCACCACCTAATAACTCCAGAAATATATTTTCTGCATCTAACCACATTAAACATCAATAAAAGATTTGTTTCATACAAATCTGAAAAATATAAAATTTAAATAACATTAATCTCCCTTATGGTAACATGTTTGTATTTGGGTCATGAGCCGCAATTTTAATTCATTGTCTTGCATTGTGTATTTGTATGGGTTTTTAAAATTTCTATTGTTTGAATACTATGTTGCCTAATTGAGATAATTATATATTACTAATCTACAGTTTTTATCAAATAATTTCTATAATTTTTTATATCTATTATATTAAAACACCTACTTAAGTTTAGAAATAAAATTTGGAATTGTTGTCATATTTGAAACTACGAAAATATAACATATTGCAAACTTTATAAATAAAGATTAAATACCAAAGTTATATGACACAACTACATTCATATGAAACTTGATTTATTTAATATACTTACAAAATTATATATTATATTAAATTCATATCAGACACAAATATGATTATACAAACACACAAGCATATTATATGAGGCAAAAAAAAATTTAAAAACAAAAAATATACCTGCAGTCTCTAGTTAATCCCTTAAACAGAATCATTTACATGGATTCAACTTTTTGTAAGTTTTAAATTAACTACATTCTTCTACTATATATTAATATACTCACCCAAATTAATTAATACTTTATCTTTTATACTACTATTAAATGTGTGTTTCATACAACACAATAGTTAAACTTCTATCCAAACAATATTAAGCATTGGGTCTTATATTTTTAGTAACTTTTTATTTATCTCATTTTAATGATTTGGTTAAAACACTCAATTCATTAAAAAATAAAAATAAAATAAATATACTTCTTTTTGTGGGGTTTAGATACTTAAAAATAATTTAATTTAATAAAAAATAATGTAGTTTTATTTTTTAAAATAAAAATATGCTTTCATTTGAACTTAATAAAACTTTCTTATTAGACTATTTTTCTTAGATTTTTAATAAATCATTATGCTTGGTTTAAGTTGACATCAAATAAATTTTATAAAAAAAATGTTAGAGTCAATGAACTAATATTAAAATAAAATTTTGAATTTAATGTTTATAAAATAATTATATAACACAAAATCAACCAACCTAATTACAGAGATTTTATTAAATATTTATAACAAATAGGTTGAGATAATTTAAAATCATATTAAGTAATATATAATCTTCTATTATGATTATATAATTTTCAAATACATTAAAATTAAAATATTTAAATTTTACTTGTCAAAAATGTTAAAATATATTACTTTATAAATTAAATTTTGTCAAAACATATTCCGCGCTTTTAAACGCTGATCAGAATCTAATCGTAATTAAACTGTTAATTTAAAATTTTGTTTGTTTTTGTACTTCAATTTTAATAAGAAGATAAAAGATAGATTGTCTTACAATACAAGCTCAATAAAAACTATATATCTCATTCCCCCTCTCCCTAAATGAAATCTTCTGCACAAATTATTTCTCTGTCTATGTTTTTTTTTTGTCGAGATGTCGCTCTGTCTATGTAGACGTTTCATTTTTACAGAAGAAACCCATATTTTCTATTTTATATCCATATGTTTTCTGACTTGTTCTGATTTGACTCTTCTTGCATATATTATATCCGATACCTTGATTGTGTAAATAAGACTTTCAAGTGTTCTTATGATGCATTACGGCAGAGTAATGCTCTGGTAGGTTTAGTTTGCACGGTTCCATCCACCTTAAATATATTTTGGGGGTTAATTCCCCTTTAACATCTATCTTTTTAAAACAGAATCCTATATTTAGACTTAATTTTTTTAGGATAAATTTTTAAATTAAATACACATATTTACTTTATAACACAAAATTATCTTAAATTATTAATACTCTTTTCATTATACTACTATCTATGTTTTCAAACAACACTACAATTAATCTGGTGTCCAAACAATATAAATATTAGATTTCATCTATTTAATAACTTTTTAAAAAAATTCATTCAAACTACTTGATAAATTAAATAATTAAAAATTTAAATAAATTTATAAGAACAAAAAAAATAGAATTTATTTTTGCCGGTTTAGATGCTACAAAAATATTTTAATCAATAGAAAAAAATTAAATTAACCGATTATTTTATTTATATTCCATAAATAATGGTTATATCATTTATTTTAAGTAAAATGACAACTCATTAGTAGTTATTATATAAAATATATACATAAACACTATACACTGAAATAACTACATTGTACAAAAATATATTAACAAAAATAAGTATGCAATTTTCATAAATATATCATCTGAAAAAAGTGTAACTGTAAACAACAAATATAAACTGATTATAATATGAACCAAATTATTAGAAAGATAAATTACACAAATAAATTATAATGAAATTAATTAAGCTATATAAAAAGAATAATGATATATTTATAGTTCTATTATTTTATATCTATCATTTTCTCTATCAAAATTTTGTAGAAAAATCATAATTTCTTAAAATTGAAAAAAAAAAAATGAACTTTAAAATTTGGATTAGAAGGTGACAAATTATAAAATTATAACAATTTAAATCAAACTTACATATCGATTTTCCATCGGTTCAATCAGTGAGTCTCAGGTTTTAGTGATTTTTACAGGTTTTAGATATTAATATTTTAAACTTTTGTGTGAATTATCGGGTCACCTGATTAATTGATTTGAGTGAAGATCCGGTCGAAGTTAAAAGCATTGATTTAAGTGTAAAAATATTTTAAATCCATACAAATTCAAAAAATATTTTTGATCATAAAATATTCCGTGCTTGCAAACCACGGATCAAAATCTAGTGCTACTTATATGTCATTAGAGATTTATCAAACAGATTAAAATTATTAAATGAATTTAAATATTTTATCCCTTTTTCTGTAGGAAGCACAATGAATTTGTGGTATATCATTGTTACAATCATCTTCTTTGCATCTATAATCGTTGCAAAGAACACGAGAAAGACAAAGAAAAATCTACCTCCTGGACCACCAAGACTTCCTATAATTGGCAACTTGCACCAATTGGGCTCGAGACCTCAACGTTCCATGTTCAAATTATCTGAAAAATATGGATCTCTAATGTCCCTCAAGTATGGAAATGTGACTGCCGTTGTGGCGTCAACTCCAGAGATGGTAAAAGAAATCTTGAAAACGTTCGATGTTGATTGTTGTTCACGTCCTCATATGACTTACGGTGCAAGACTTTCATACAATCGCAACGATCTCGGATTTTCTCCATATAGCCAATATTGGAAGGAACTACGAAAGATGACTGTGGTCGAACTCTACACCGCGAAAAGGGTAAAATCATTTGGACATATCAGACAAGAAGAAGTTGCCTCTTTCGTTGATTTCATCAAACAATCCGCCTCACTGGAGAAACAAGTTAATTTCAACCGCAAGTTTACGAATTTGTCAGCAAGTGTGATTCTTAGACTTGGATTTGGGATGAGTCTTGAAGGGAGTAAACTTGAGAGTACTTGTTACGAAGTTATTCATGGGATCATGGAGGTTGCTGGGAGTTTCGCAGCAGCAGATTTCTTTCCCATTGTTGGGGGATTAATCGATAGGCTCACAGGGTTACATGGCAAATGTGAGAAGGTTTTTAAAGCTATGGATGCGTTTTTCGATGAAGCTATAAAGCATCATTTAGACGATGAGAGTATTAAAGATGATATTATTTCATTGCTCCTCAAGATGGAACGGGGAGAGATTGGACTTGGAGAGTTTCAACTTACTCGAAACCATACCAAAGGAATTCTTCTTGTAAGTACTGAAAAACTTATAGTATTCAAACTCTATTTTCTAATTTATTGTTTTTTATTTTTGTTATTACAGAACATTCTTGCTGCTGGGATAGACACTTCTGCCCAAACTGCAACATGGGTGATGACACATTTGATTACAAACCCACGAGTTATGAACAAAGTGCAAGCCGAGGTGAGAGAAGTGATCAAAAACAAAGACAATATCACAGAAGAAGATATAGAGCAACTGAAGTACTTCAAGATGGTGATTAAAGAAACACATAGGATAAACCCACTTGTGCCACTTCTAATTCCAAGAGAGACGTTAAGAGATGTTAAGATTGGAGGTTATGACATTCCAAAGAAAACATGGATCCATGTCAACGTTTGGGCTGTTCATAGGAATCCAAACGTTTGGAAAGATCCAGAAGCTTTCATCCCTGAGAGGTTTTTGAACAATGAGATCGACTATAGAGGTCTTAACTTTGAGTTATTACCGTTTGGTAGTGGAAGGAGGATGTGCCCAGGTATGGGTATGGGTATGGGTATGGCTTTGGTACACTTGACTCTTGTCAATCTTCTTTACCGTTTCGATTGGGAACTCCCGAAAGGAATGGAGGTAAAAGATGTTGATCTTGAAGAATCATATGGACTTGCTTGTCCTAAAAAAGTTCCACTTGAGCTTATCCCGGTCATTACCAAGTGGACTTGATTTTCTATAGATACATAAAGTTCCACTTAAACTTCACCAGTCATTACAAAGTGGACTTGACTTCTTATATGTATGTATATTATTTCATACTTCAAAAATGTAACCTTTGGAAGTGTTTTTGAAGGTCTTGTCGTTATCAATAATATAATTGTTTGATGAATCCATCTTTAGAAAATTATTTCTGGCAACCACAACATTTTTGTGCCTGTTGATGCTCGTTCAAACTAGTGTAATAAATTAATTAGTTTAATGGAACATTTGAAATTAATTAGTGAGGCAAAGGCAGATTATATCAGATTTGTTTGTATGGAACCAAACTAAATCAAATATTGGAGAAGAGAAAAATAAAAGGAGGATCAAATGTAACTGCATCACGATAAAATTAGCTGTGGAAAGAACACATTTTATAAAACTTAGAGAATTAATGGGATGATGAATTGGAGTTATAATTAATTTGAAAATCACTTACAAAGTTGGGCCGGAATCATTCAAATCGGTAGAAACAGAGAAAGCTGTTCTGTTGCAGCAACTTCAAGAAAAAGTGGGATGTTCATTTGTGTCCTGATCTGACTGAAAATTGGTGGGACTGAAGAGTGGACGAGTAGTTTGTTAGTTATTGTTATCTTTCTAACCTATTTGATGCAGTTTAAAACAGTGTAATATGTCATGAACTATATAATCTGGTTGGGTAAAAGAGCTCAGATTGAGCTCAATTTTAGCAGGATAGTTCTTATGGATATGAGTCCTAGTAAAGGACAAGTTTTTTTTTTGTATGGAAGCATTGAATAAGGTGCTGTTGAAGTAGAGATAGGAAATCTGTCTACAATAGAGTAAGGAGAAAATGATTAAGCCGGCATCATCAAGTGGCTCAGGTGAAGGATTTGTGGAACCATATTTCATGTATTTTTATTATAAAACATGATTAGGATATGTAGGCTTAGATCTGATTGTTAGAATATGAATTGTATGGTAATGTGCGTGAAGTGATGATTGGGTATATGTTGACATGCGAATAAGATGATAATATGACTACATGAGTACGTAAAATTTTTGAAAATGTATGAAATGATATAACGACATGTTTGTTATAGATAATGAAAATATGCATGTATGATATGATATGATGATGTTATGATATGGTAGAAATGTAGAATATTATATGAGCTTGTATGATGTACGAGAGGAAGAATCGAGTTACATGCCGTGTTCTTCACTCGAAAACGGGTGATGGGCCGACGGGTTTCATGCAGGTCATGAACGGCTGACGAGTCTGGTATGGGATTGTCAGCTACGTCTGCTTCCACGCATGAGGTTCTTTTGTCTATCACGAGCATAGCGCCATTGCGAGGATTACTGAACCTAAGGATGCATGAGTATCTTGCTTAGCGGGCAACAAGAATGATATGTATATTATAGACTGGAAAGTATAACAGGCTATATGGTTGCTAGTGTCTAGGTTTATGCGTTATGATTTTTTATAGTAGTAAAAAATATGTATTACGTTTTGATGAGTCTTCCACTACATAATTATTAGTAACCCTCCCTCAATTGTGTTTATCAGTATGTGCAGGTGCGCTTAAAGTTAGGACGCAAGTCTTAAGGTTCAAAGAGGTCGGGACGGGTGTTAAACACATCCTCCTTCCACAACCAAACGATAAATCTATAACATAAATAAATTCAATGCAAATTTCAAAAATAAATATTAAGGCCTCAATATATTTTTAATGCACATTTAGAAATTAACATATTTATGTATTAACAATATTAACAATATCTCTTAAGTATCTTGCGTAGTGGTCAACAAGAATGATATGTATGTTATAGATTGGAAGTATATAACAGACTATATGATTGCTAGTGTTTAGGTTTAGGTTTATGTGTTATGATTGTTTTACAGTAGTAAATGTTAGTTTATAATTGAGCTTGATCTAATTTACATAATTAAATTATAAAGTATGTGCAAACTCAACGGGGGTGTTTGTAAAGTAGTGACTTGTTGGAAGAGTCACAAGTAGTTACGGTTACGTAAGAAATCGATAAAGTGACAATATTGCTTATGTAAAAAGTGTCGAGAATAAAAGAGAAGCTTTCCAAATTTATTTTGTTTTATTTTTCTTGTCCAGTATCATCAACTCTATTAAAATAGAATCATTATTTTTATCTACTGATACAAGTTATCATTTAAATTTGTACATTTTCAAGAATGTTATAAATAATATAAGTCATATAATTGATTGAACCGTATTACTTAAATTAAACTAACACAATTAATGTAAAAATACGACTTTAACGTAAATTACCTTCAAAATAAGGCAGATATCTATGTGTATACCGAAAACACATATTTTCTCTTACAAATATAGAATGTTCTAAAAAAATATATATCATCAAAATATAGAATATGGAAATCTACTAATTATACTTAAATTAAACCAGTTGTTATTTATGGAATATAGTCTTGGTCTTACTTTTATTTTTTGAACAATTATATAGTTTGGTTTTTGGGCTTAATATTAAGAAAAAACTCCAAAAACATTGAATAAACTTTTCACCTTAAAAGATCAAAAAATTATTTATTATTTTCAGACCCAAAATGTATTTAATATTTTTAACAAAACAAAATTATCTATTGATAATCATTTATTTAAATCATGTACTTTAAAACATGTTAATATTTTTTTTTTTGAATAACAATCACTTTGTTTTGATAAATTTCAATTCTAACTTTTAAATAATTTATTGTTTTATTTTTCTTAAATAATGTACTGATTAAAAAAATGTAAAGCAAAATCAAAAATCAAATTTAAAAACTAAAATCCAAAACCAAAAGCTGAAAACACATGTTATATTTTTTTTTACTTTGTTTTTTTACAAAATAAACTATTTCAAAATTTATTTTTAAATTTGTTGTCATCTTTTCAGTTTTAAATTAGATGTTCGATTATTTGAGATTTGTTTGTTGGTAATATCAGTCCCTGTTCGAAAACGCGGCTTAGGCGGCCGGATATTCGCCGGAAAATCGTGTTTCGGCCGGGAACCGTGGCGTTTTGACCTTAGGCGGTGAGTTAATCGGAAGAGTTGAAAACCTCATCATTCATGTTGATTTGAAGTCTAAAACTAGATGCTCTTTAATAGATTTGATATATATTGAATAAAACATATAAGATTAGCAAGAGAAACAATGGAAATCACAACAACAAAAAAACGATGGCGGCTGTTTTTAGGTCGAAAAATTCACAGGTCTGAGGTAGGAGATAAGGCTATATCCGTCATTTGAATTTCATTAAACCTAAAACAGGAGGAAATAGACAAAAACGGACAGGAGGAAATAGACAAAAACGGTCCATCATGTTCGAACCCGTGACTTGCTTGAATAGTAAGGGTGAGTAACCACTACACCACGTGACAATATTCGTATAACTTTACATTTATAATATATAAACTCATAAATTACGCCCCGATTAATCCCCGCGTAATCTCTGATTAATTGATTCGGCGCTAGGCCCTACCCGACTGAACGCGTTACGCCTAGCGAAATCTTGAACATTGATATCAGTTCAAACTAACTCAGCGGGTTTAAAAATTAAAAACACAAACCAAAAAGTGAAAATGAAAAGTAGAAACTTAAAAACTAAAAACCAAAAACTAAAATTTAAAAATAAAAAGTGAAACTAAAAACTAATGAAAAAATATCACCACCACAATTTTTGGTGAACTGATTTTATATCAGAATATTCTTTAAATTAAGACAAAACTCAATTATATAAATTTTTAATCATAAAAAAGCGTGGGTCAAAATCTAGTTTCACTTTATTTGTTAAATAGTAAGTATCAATTACTCTGTTTATTGCTTTACGTAACAGAACAATACTTGTGTAATCTTCTCTCTTGAACATACTGAAGAAGAAATAACTTCTAACAGTAAAAATATGTATTGCGTTTTGATAAATCTTCCACTAAATAATTTATTACTTACCCTCCCTTAATTGTCTTTTTCAGTATGTGCAGGTACACTTAAAGTTAGGACGCAAGTCTTAAGGTTCAAAGAGGTTGGGACAGGTGTTATACACATCCTCATTCCACTACCAAACGATAACAACTCAAAATATAGAACTTTATAGTCGATCTCATAGTCCATGAACCTCTTGGGGTTGAAAGCTTCTGGATCTTTCCAAACGTTTGGATTTCTGTAAACAGCCCATATGTTGACATGGATCCATGTCCTTTTTGGAATGTTGTAACTTCCGATCTTTACATCTTTCGAAGCCTTTCTTGTAACTATAAGTGGCACAAGTGGGTTTATCCTGAATGTTTCTTTAGTCACCATTTTGAGATACTCAAGTTGCTCTATATCTTCTGTTGATATTGTCTTTGTTTTTTTATCACGTCTCTCAAGTCTCACCTCAACTTGCACCTCTTTGGTTGGCCAATGAAGCAGATTGACCCTTTAGCGGTGTAGAGTTCAAGAACCATCATCTTTTGTACTTACCTCTAATATTTGATATACGGAGAAAAACCGAGATCGTTTTAATTGTATGAAAGTCTTGCAGAGTACACAATATGGTCGTGAACAAATCCGTTGAATGTTTTTAAGACATCCTTCACTGTCCCCGGATTTGATGCCACAACGGTAGACACATCTCCGAACTTAAGGGACATTAGAGATCCATATTCTCCAAATAACTTGAGCAAGTTGCCAATTATAGGAAGTCTAGGGTGTCTAGGAGGTAGATTTCTCTTTGTTTTTCTCGTGTTCTTTGCAATGAGTACAGATGCAAAAAAGGCATAGTTTATACATTTAGCCAGCTGATTATCTTCACAGAAATATAAATGGCATGTTAGGTGAATAAGTACATAAATAAACGTTAAAGTGAATCCAAAATACAGAACTAAAAGCACCAGAGCACCACTCTGCCGTATGGCAACACCAGATTAGTTTGAATTGTCCTTACTACATTCAAACATATAAAAATATTAGAGAATTAAGATTTTATTCTTCT